ATAGAATAGAATAGAATAGAATAGAATAGAATAGAATAGAATAGAATCATCCGTTCTGATTGGCTGAGGCTAATTTCTGGGTTGGGCAGGACAGGAAACACAGCTGCGGGACCGCGCGGGGCCTGGATGCGCGCTCCCGATGAGGGTTTTGGGATCCGGTGGAGCTGAAAAGTAAAGTCAGACCCGGACCTACCGGAAGTTTAGGAGCATGGACTTCACAATAAAAGTACAATAAACTAGAAACCTGTTAAATCTGCTCGGTGTTCCCTGATTGTTCACAACAAACTAACAACTAGAGACAATATTAAAGACATGTTTTTAAGTTTGGTTCCAACACAATATCCACTTTTATCTGCTGGCTCTAAATGTAGTTTAAAAATTATTGTAACACTGTTATAAAGTCTATGAAAGAAAAATCTATTTATAAAATATGTATTGTAAAAATAATGTACACTTTGAATAAACTGTATTTACATAGATCCATTATTGAACTATTAAACAATGGAAGTGAAATAATCCAGTGAGAATTTCATAATTAGAGAAACTTGTTTTAATTTTCTCACCACTTCTCTCTTGTACAAAAACTAATAATATTTTATTTTATTTAACTTCTGTAGTTTTCTTTGCATTTTCTGTAAATACTGTTTGTGCAGTTGAAACTCGTATCAGGTTTTCTTTGGGCTCAATAAAGTTTTTTCACTCTGATAGAAGACGTAGAACGGTCAGTCCCAGTGGTCACTGGAGAACTGGGTGCTGTGACCCCAAACTGGAAGAGTGGCTCCAACAGACCCCAGGAACAACCTCAGAGGTCTCAGTCCAGGAGAGCTCAGTGCTAGGAGCAGCTGAACCTCAGAACCCTCAGAACACAGACCTCGGGTACAGCAGTGGAATGGTCTGTTTTTTTTTTTTTGGGGGGGGGGGGGGGGCAATTTAAATATCTTTAAAACAAACAAAACAACAGCTTGTCCTATTTACATCTTGGGGTCACAGCAGCAAGTTCTCCAGTGACCACTGGGATGATGTCACCTTGACTCTCCACAACTGCTCTAGTTCCTCTTTCAGCCCTTGTTTTTTCTCCAGCTGCTCCTTCCAGATGTTACAGTTACTTGGGGATTGCTACATGTATCTCCGCTGCCTTCTTCTGTAGCTTGTCGACCAACTCAGTGTCTGGTTGGTCAGTCATCATCTGTATGCAGGGCTGGATCTGGAAGTCCAACAGCATCTTAGCCCTTCCATTCTCCACCACCCTTGGTGGCATCTCCCACTATTGACAGTGGGACCTCCAGTCCATACTCTGCACAGATGTTCCTATTATTCCAGATGTTCTTGTACACTGGTCCACCCACTTGATTAATGTGTCATGAATGTGATGTTCAGCCTCCATCTTGGGGTCTGTAGACTCTGGCCTCTATTTTTTCATTCACCCTTTATTTCCACAGGTTAGTCTCACTGAGCCTCCAGGACTCGTTTACAACAGAGACCTGATTTAACAAAAAGTCATGACAACAGTGGGCAGTTATTAAAAAAGCACAACAATTGAAACATGAATGTAAGAAAATAATGTAAAAAAAAACAGCTACATTATGAAGTGATGTAGAAAACTAAAATCAGGAACATGTCTGTGTTGGTTTTTGCCATGAACTTGTTAAAATCCTTTAGAGAGGTCAAAGGTCGAGAGCTTCAGATCTTTTTACAAGATGTTCCAGGAAACAGGAGCGGAGTAGGAGAAGGTCCTTTTGTCTAGTTCAGTCCTCACTGAGGGAACACTGCAGGTAATGATGTCCTGAGAGCGCACGCTGTAGCTGCACTCACGCAGAGACATGGAGGAGGAGATGTATGAAGGCAGCAGACCAGGAAGTGATTTAAAGATGAAAATGTACCAGTGAGAGTCTGTGTGAAGTTAATGGTGACCAGTTAACCAGTGAATACTGGGTGCAGTGGTGGGTACGGTAGTTACAGCCAGTTATGAATCTTAGTGCACCATGATTGGTGCCTCGCCCTCTCCAACGTCCTGTCACAGAACTATATATATATATATATATATATATATATATATATATATATATACATATATCACAGCTGTTCGTAGTGATTGTTATTTGTCGCTGCAGCTAGGAAGCGCTTTTATTGTGAAGGTCCCAGCCGGAAGTGGCCCGTGCTCCAGTCTAGCGGTTCTCCAGGATTCAATGAGGCCAGCAGCAGGAAAGCTCGGCAGGATCTGGGATTTATGCGGGATTTATGCGGGATCTTCGGGCCTGGTGGTAGCAGAACCGGCGGGGATCCCGGTGGAGCCGTGACCGACGCCCGGGGCCCTTGAGGCGGACTCGTTGGCTCCGCTGCTCCGCTCCTGTAAGTAGCTCCTCACCTCTTCACCCGGACCTGGTTCCGAGGTTCGGGTCGAAGCGTGGCGGTTCGGATGTGTTGCACAATAAGAACCGTGAATCCCTCCGGTGACCGCAGAGCAAGGAGGGGGTGTAGGGAAGCCCCCACAGCTGATCGCTGCAGCCTGCAGTGCGTGTGCGCGCGCGCGTGTGGGGGGACGGGACTTGGGTCCGGCCCGGATGCTCCGGTCCGCCGGGGAGCCTCAGCTGACAGCCTCCCTTCAGCTTGGAGGCCGGACTGGCTGACACGAGCAAGGCGTGGTGTGCTGGCAGCATCACACACACGCACGCACACACGCACATGGGCGTGTTTCCCCTCACTCCATAAATCACTTTGCACACTCCACTCGGATCAGACCGTGCAGCTGCACAGATGTGACCCCTGACCCCCCAGCGTCTCCGGGGTCTCAGGGTGGACAGTGGGTTTAGATGGAAGTTCTGGAGGACTA